CCTTGTTCCATCCTGCCCTTGCCTGCCCTTTTTAGCTTGCTTTCTCTTCCTGGCATCGTAGTGACTTTTTCCCCAGCGGGTCCTTTTTTTTTTTTTTTTCTCCACCTAGAACATGGGTCGTTTCTCTATGCCTCCCATGGCACTCGGCTACATTTGTCACTGTAGGGGCACGTGTCTAGTCATTTGCTCAGGGTCTCTGTACATTCAGCCTGAAATCTCTGTATAGGTGAGGGTTTTTGCTCTTCATGGCTAAATCTTTGGTGCCTGGCACATGGTAGGTTCTCATAGATGTTTCTTGGATGAATAATAGATGACCGTTTTAAAAAGCAAGTTGCAAACTTGTTTGTAGCTTGAGGGTCTTGATGGTTGAAATTAGGGCTTCTGGTGTTTCAGGGCAAAAGTAAACACAGAGGGAAGTTTTGTCCCACTTAGGGATTCTCTTTATTGACCTGCTACCGAGGTAGATTCAGAGAGAATCTTGCTTCAGCAAAACGCATAAAGAAGAAAAGGTACGTTGTGTCACTGAGCTACTTTCTACTGTTTTAGACACGAGATGCTGACTTCAGAAACTCCCAAAGAAGCAGCTGGCTCAGAAGATTCCTGACCTTGTCACTCTCAGGAGAGGAAGGGGGAGATAGGTGATATCAACCAAGAATTACACAGGGACTTTGTTCTAAGACCTTCTGTGAGTTGGCTGAGAGAAAGATGTCAGGCAGAGTGGATTTTTACACACTGTTACAAAAGGCAGTGCGGACTTCTTGCAATTAGTTCCTTTGCCTGATATTTGTTTTTTTTTCTTGGATTAGGTTATGGTTTATACATGAATCGAGTGCTTTTGGTAGTAGAAATGTATACTCATTATTTATAAGATTCACAGTGATACAGAATTTGTTTTTATATGCTTTGTCTTGTGTTAAATTCCTAATTTGTACAGTTCTATTTTTCTGGCTATGCCTCCTCAATCAGCACTGCTAATCCTACCTGTAAAAGAAAAAAAAAAAAGGGAAAAAAAATCACAGTCCAGAGAAGGTCTAACAAGTCTCATTAAGACAGATGAGAACATCAAAAAGTAAGGCAGGGAGGCAAGGACTTTTTCCTCGCTGGTCTAAAGAACGCAATGAACTTGGCTTAGAGTCTCTGGGGGTGGCAGAAATGTCCGCTCCTCCTGTCCCAGAGCTATGAAATCCTTCCATCACTCCTGGAAGTCTCTGTTAAGGAGAGTAGAGATGGTGACGCTGTTTGTAAATTTCCGTTTCATTTCCGGTATTGATGACTACATTCTAATCAGCCTCCAAAATGTATGGCCTTCAGTGGTGCTCTCTCCTTGATGTGGTTAATCAATCTTTATTTGACATAAAATAGAAATGGGAATCCTAGTATGGCTTCATGTCCCTAAAAAAAGAAGCTCCCATACCTACACTTCCTCTTGTGGTCAGAAAATGATCCTATTAAACTCACAATATTTCAGTATTTGAATGAAGAAATATGTTCCGCTTTACAGCTCCCAAGACTGTGTGAAAAACGTGTGGGGAATGGGAACAAATAATATGCTACAATCTTTGACTTTTTTCTACTTATCTACCAGGTAAACTCTTACTTATCCTTCGGAAATCAGTTCAAACAGCCCTGCAGCTCTGAAATGTATCCTGACCATCCTGGGAGAGTTAATCACTTCTTCCACTGTACAATCATTGTAACTGTAATTTTTATACTCCCATTATTGTATATACTGCACTATCCTTCTGTTTAAGTACCTACCTCCTCCTTTAGACTGTGTGAGCTTTAAGGGCAGGATACATGTTTTAATCATCATCTCCCCAGTACCCAACATAGCCCTTGGTATACACAAAGGACTCAGTACATATTTGCTAATAAGAGACCGAATGAATAATATTTAAAAGAGAACCAGGAAACTCAGCAATTCTATTCATCACTGCTTAAGTTTTCATACATGAGATCAATTGCCCATTCAAGTTACACGTGTTCGGCTCCATGAATGGAGTTTCAAAAACCTGCTGACTTCTGCACCCAGTGTTTGGTTTCTGGTAATAGCCCCATCTCAAGGGCCTTGCATCTCTGACCAACTCTTGGCCCTTGAATGTATTGATCAAATAATTCCCAGATGTTGTCTTCGCTTGTTTTTTCCTCCCAATAGGTGTCAAGGTCTTGGCAATCCTATCTACTCCCCAAGTTTTGTCTCTAACTTGTCTCCTCCAAAAGCATCATTGGGAAGCCTTCATCCTTGGGGAAATGTGGAATATTCAAACAATCTGCCCCAGGACTCCACAGAGCAGATCGCAAGTTCTAGGAGAGCTTCCTTCAGGGCAACAGGAAGGTGACATGCTTGGCTCTGGTCCTCTCTACCAGGTCCTTGCCAAGGGAACCCTGTCTTACAAATGGTTCAAAATAAATTTTCTTGAAAACCAACTAATTACATCAAAAGCTGGGAGACGGAGGATACACTTATATGGCTTATGTGTTCTTATCCTCGAGGGGAAAATTTTTGTGAGGAGCAAACACTCTGATGGATCTTGCCCTGGAAATGTAATAATTAGGGCAATAAACATAGATTTGTGGTTATTCACCCATCGGACATCTTGTCACCTTATTTTCTGTGTAGGGACCACTAGAGTTCCATCCAATGTGGCTCATAATTTACCATCTCCCTGAAGCCTTGGTCTTGCAAGTGAACTTGGCCCCTGGGACATCTGCGTATTGCATCTTTAAAATGGTGGTACTCATGGTTCCTCCCAACCTCACTGTATGGTTGTCAGGCTTGAGAGAGATAATGCACGTGAAGCATTAATGTCGGGCATATATAAACTGCACAAAAACCTGGTTGTCCCTGGTGATGGTGTCTTCTTCTTTCCTTCTCTGCCCTCTTTTTCTATAATAGCTACTACATCTCTCCTTGCCTTCCCACCCCTCCTCCTCCATCTAGTCCACTCTATATAGACTTAATGTCCAGAAACTATTTTTCAAACAACACTCTGTTAATGCAAAAATAGGCTGACTGGTGCCCAACACACCCTATGGCAGTTCATAAATATAAGCAGGAAAGACAGAAAGTCTTATCCAGCCTTGAAGAGCACCATGAAAATATCCCGAGTCAAGCCTCGTGGACCAGTCAGCTTTCAGCCTGGAAACCTTCCAGCAAAGCTGTTTATTAATGGGTTACCATATCTGTGCAGATGCCTGAATATACCAGTTATATATAATATATGCATATACATTCTATTGACTTTCCATATTTTAAGCCTCAGAGATTAAGATTATATCCTGTAATTGTCAGAAAATAAAGTTTGGAGTGACTACAGTGACAATGGTGTACAACATATTAATGGTCAAGATCTTGTTAAAACAAAAATTTTACAGATACGAAACAAAATGCTGTTCAGCCATAAAAAAGAACAGAATCTTGCCATTTGTGACAACATGGATGGACATGGAAGGTGTTAAGTGAAATAAATCGGCAGAGAAGGACAAATACTGTACGACCTCATCTATATGTGGAGTCTACCACCACCACGAAGCCAAGCTCACAGACACAGGGAACAGGCTGGCTGTTGCCAGAGGTGGGGCGTGGAGAGTGGGAGAAATGGGTGGAGCGAGTCAAAGGTACAAACTTCCGGTGATAAAACAATGAAGTCATGGGAATGTAATATACAGCACAGTGACTATAATTAATAGTACTGCATTGCATATTTGAAAGTCACTAAGAGAGTAGAACTTAAAAGTTCTCATCCCCACAAAACCTTTTTTTTTTTTTTTTGTAGCTTTGTATCATGACAGGTGTTAACTAGGCGTATTGTGATTGTTTCACGGTATGTACGAGCATGAAATCACGTCATACACCAGAAACTAATATAATGTTACGTATCAATTACACCTCAATACAAAAAGCACCTTTCCTATTAAAGGTGACAACGGCTGACCTAAAAAAAAGAATAAAAGAAAGAGAAGCAACAGGAAATGCCATGGCTTGCAAAATTGTTTTCAGCTCTGTGCAGAAAACTCACTGGCCATTACCAACAAGATTATGGATTAAGTCTGTCCTTCCTCAATCCTCAGTTATTGAAGTTTAAAAATGGCGTGAGAACTTTCTGAAGAGTCAATATGAATTAGTCCCTTTCTCGGTTTCGTCCCCAGAGTTCTTCCAGACAAGGAAACAATAACCATTGGAGCACACAAACGGTGCAAGTGTCTGGAGATGGAGCAGCAAGGCCGTTCCAATATCTGGCCAGCACACTCACAACCTTCGCTGTCAATTACATGCCAGCCCACCATGCTGTAACTGATGCGCCTGCTTTCAGATCATTAAGGTAGCCATGGTTTTGGACGATCAGAAGCAAAGGTGAGAAAAGGACAGATGCAAACGCCGAACAAAACAAAGCCAGTTGTGGAGATCACTTTGAAACTCTTCAAACTCTTCCCTCCCACCATAAAGCGCTGCCCCTTTTTTTCTTGTTTGTTTTTATACATCACTGTTTGCCCCTCAAGCATCAAGCTGTTAGTGTGTACAGGAGGGATTAAAGTGAGCCGGCATGTTGGATGAAATATAAATTAAAGTTATACTTCTGTCAGTCTGGAATCAGGGATTGTTTCTCAAGGTCTCCCCAAACACTTAATTTCAAATGAGTCTTCATTTATTACTTCAAGAAAGGCCAAATGCATAATTTATCAGCGGCTTTCAGTCAATATACCCTTATAAGCATGTTTCCCATGAGCCTCTGAGTAAAAATATGTTATGCTAATTCTATTAGTTGGGTACACAGGAGCTAAGAGAGTACATATACATTAAAAGGAGGCACATGTGAACAAAGAAACACCTATCAACCTGCCATGCGGGGTCAAATTACCAAAGGACCAACAAAGAGGTGGTAAACTCGTCCCATTATTTATGCCAAGGTTTTCTCTGGCGTTGGAACTCTGAGCCACCCAGCGGCTCTGTATGGGGGACTCAGGTAGGGAGATGCGCAGACTCAGCGATGGGGACTTACCGCGTCTCCAGCGGCACGTTGCTATTTAGCACCCAGCTGTCCTGAAGCTGGACGGACTCCGGCGTGGTGGCCAGATCATTGGGCGCAGGAGCGGGGGCGTGGATCTGACTCCGCCTATTGGTCAGCGAGTTCCTGTTGAGGGAGTTGGCAGAGGAGTGGTGATGGGACAGCGTGTGGTTGTGAGGGGGCGGCAGAGGGGGCCTCAGAGTCGACTGGCTGTGGTGGTTCGGAGGACCTGAAAGAAGAGGAAGGAGAAACGGCCATGAGTGATGGCATGTCACAGCTGCAGACACGGCCAACCTGTGGAGGAGAAAAGCAAAGGCTCCACGTGGACACGCTGCAAGTTTGCAAACCAGAGGGGCAGAGAAGACGGCACGGAGCATCTCAGCGTTAGTTGCGCAATATGTGTTCATTGGCCTCTATCCATAGGCATCACACGAAGAAGGAGCAGCTGGGTGAGCAAAACCAGGCTGCTGAAGACTGACCAGTGGGATCGCTGAAATGGATTAATACTGCGAGGGAAGTTACAGGACATTCAAGGCGGAAACACCTCCCTGGTCCATTCCCTGGTAAACCAGTAGTATCCCACGTACATTCTTTACAAAGCATTTCCTTTTTTTCTAAAGATGGTAAGAGTATGGTACCCTCTATGTCAGGAAGAAGCCAATGTAGGTACCTGTAGGGGTCAGGTAGGAAAGAGAAGGGAGTGGGCCAGGTGTGGAATGAGGTGAACTCCAGAGGATGGGGAGCCGCCCCCACTCAGGTCCAGGCCCAAGGGGGGATTAGGGCTCAAGGAAGCCCATCAAGATTTTCTAGGAAAGCTAAAGAGCTGGACTTCTGGATAAATTATCCTGTTTTTAGAAAAATGTTGACAATTAACTAAAAAATATGTGTGTGTGTACACATATTTTACACATATATACGTATAAAATTTTTAGTAAGAGTCAACAAACACACCTGTGAGCCCACTCAAATCGTGGATTGATAACGTTTCTCCACCAAGGAACGAACCCTGAGGATTTCATCTCTGGGGAAGGTCTGGGTTGATGTATTCAAACTACTACCCTGACTCCCAATTGCATCCTGTTCTCTAATCTTGAAATCCTCTATCCTTGCAGGAAAAAGGCACGAAGGAGAACGAGACCTCTGAATGTCATCCCTTATAAATATGGCCACAGATGACAACTCCACACAGGGTTTTCCTAGCTACCCATTCTCTACCTACAAAATGAAATAGTTTAAGCATAACGAAAATGAAAGTAGTTTACTATGCAACGTAAGCCTATAATTTGGTTTTAATGGCTGCTGAAACATGACTTTTGATTCATGTCCTTTGAGCGAGCTTATTTTCTGAAGCCTCCAGTCGGGGCTGGCAGCTCACCAGGTGACTGCCGAGCCTTGTCATTTTGGCCCCTGCCAACTTTTAAAATCCTCGGCCCCCGCTGTCTTGGCTTTAAGAAGTTGGTTCAAGTCATTTAAACAAGCAATTTGACACAAATTTCAACTACTTGTCTCCTTATGTGGCCAGGCTACATCTCCGAAAGGTGTAATCTCCATTCCGTGGCTCTGTGACACCTGCAGGTACATTCTGAGGAAAAGGGAACATGTCAAGAGACTGGGTTTGGAGAGCATTGTGACCAACGAACACAAAAAAGAAAAATAAAAGCGGAGGAAAGTGCTTCCTTGAAGTTTTCATCTCTGGGCTGAAATTACTTGGGATTTTGTTTTTTTTCCCCCCCCTGGTGTTCAGAAAAAGACAACCAAAACTGCAACCCAGTGGGAAATGCCACTGGAGAAGTTGTGTAGATTTTCAATCGCGCCCTCCAAACGCGCCTGTAACTCATATTTTACACTGTGTGCCACTGACATTTTAAATATCTCTTTGAGGGAGTTTCATAGCCGTAGCTGGCTATTATATTTACTGTCTAGCAATGTATTATTATATAGTTATTTAGCATTTGTCTGGCTCATATTAGTGGGAAGAGGTGAGAAGAGGGAGTGAAATTATGTAATAAGGATCCTTCAGAGCTGCTGCCCAAGCCCCTCACACATAGTTCATGAATTCTCTTGCCTTTCTTTCCCCGTCTCTCAACTCCCATCCAAGTGGTGTCATTATTCTCCATTAGGTAGGTAATTACGAGGCTTGCCGCGGGAAGACGAGATGAATCAGTGTACAAGTGCGAACCCACCCTCCCCGGCCCCAAGCCCTAACTTTCCATCTCCTTGTGCCTCCGGCTCCCACTCGCCAGCTCTCCAGACCACACACTCTCCCAAAGTACAAAGAGGCTGTGTGAGGGATTTAATCCACAAAATGAGATACCGGAACCCTCCTGCTTCCTGTCTACTCACCCTGAACGAAGGGCTCTTTGCCCAACGTGGGAGGCCCTTCTTTGTACATTTGTGTTCTGTGCTTGCTTTTCTGCTGACGATCCAGCCACCGACTTAGGGGCTATGTTGTGTGTTCCAAATAAAATGGAGAGTGAGTTTTCCAGTTAACTGGAAGGGATGTCAAGCTCTCTTTCCAGTTCTCCTGAAGAGAAGGTCTAGAGCTTCGTGGGGGACATGGAGAAAGAAGAGTAGGGGAAGATGAGGGAATACGTAATTCTCCACCCACCCTGCCCTCCTGGGAAGTGACATGTTATTTCACTGCAAATAAATCCAATTATTGATAGCAACAACAAAAATTATCCAGCATCGTCTGTAATGGAAGACGTTTTCCTCATTACCATCGTTCATGTCCACAGTGGCAATGATTCTATTTGCTCATTTATCTATCTATCCAAAAGTTGTATTTTTCAATTAGGTACAGGAGATAGGAGGAAAAGACAGTTACGATAGAGTGCTAAATGCTACCACTGGGGTCCATGCAGAGTCATGTGGGGGGGCAAGTAAAGAGGGGCATTCAGCCAGGGCTGGGGAGAGAAAAACCTAAAGAACTGTGCTCTAGGGGCGGGCCTCGCACTTTCAAGCTGTGTGCACCTGGATCTGCAATCTCCACACATTCATCTGCCAAATGGCGAAAAGCGCAGTAAGCGGCCCGAAAGGTTGCTGCAGAAGTTAGAGGGGAAGGATACACAGAAACTGCGAAGCATGAGGTCTGATGGCTGGCAAGCTCCCCCAAACTACATGCATGGAACACTGCTCGGCTCTTTCAGGAATTGAAGGAGGGATAAGACGTAACTGCAGCCCTCAAGGAGCCCAGAGGTGAGCAGGGAAAGTAAACTTCATCTCTCTAGGGCAGCAGTCACAAACTGGTGGTCCCCAAGGTGAGGATTACCAAAAATTCGAAGTCAGTATTTGGTGTAGTGTGCCTGATTCCTGACTTCTCTTGAAAACAAAAACACAATGAAAACGCTGAGTCTGATTTCCCTCATGGCAACAATTGGGTAGAGCGGAATGCCGCTGGGAAGCTTCTCTGGTTCGCCACCAACCCGAACAATCCCTGGTATCTTAACCTGGCCAGATGCACGCGTGGGTATTACCGGCTGGGAGGCGTTTATGTTTCTGACTGCTGGTTTAACCTTGGGGACCTTAACATCCTGTGTGGGTCACACGTCTCTAACGTAACAACACGTTGTGACAACTACTGGTCTCAAGCACACTTTGTGTTTCTCAGTTTTCATCACAGTCATCCAATGCGCTTGCCGGGTGGGATGGTTTTCCATTTCAGGAACACAAACAATGGCAGCAACATGCTCTACTGCTTTCCAAGAAGCCCAGTTACATGAAAAAGCCCTTCTCCAAGACAACTGATGTCTTCAATCTATGGTGCAACAGAAATGAGTACCTCAGTTTGATGAAGGAGCCTTCACGCGTCCACTCTGATTCACACATTTATTGGGTTTAATTAATGCGCATATTATTAATGGCTCTTCTGTCGCATAAATATGGAATCACATATTAATGCAATTGAGTCATGAATAACTTTGCAACAAATGCTTACACAGTATGAACCTAATAAGTATTCTATCAGCAGGCAAAAGGCAGCAGTCGTTCAAGTCACCATGTTAACCTCTTCTATTGCATCTGATGTACCCTGAGCTGAGGACCTGGAATTTAGTTTTAGGTACTGTGTGGCTTTTAGTCCTAGGAATAAAGAGCAGTATGTTGGCTCTTTCTTAAAAGCTGGGGCGGCACAGGTGAGACTCTTAGCAAAGATAAGTGAATGTACAGAGAAGGTGCTTCCTGTGTATTTAAAAATTAAGGGCTTGAATGTGCACGGAATTTGTCCTGTGTGCTTGTTTGGTCTGGTTGGCTTGAATGGTCTCTGCTTCTGTGTTTTTAGATTTCTTGTGGGACAGCTGCCAGAAAGTTTGATCTTGACAGCGATGCCTGTCCTTCCTAAATGGTAATTGGTTGACAGTGGAGCCTTAAGAAAGATAAAGCAGTGTTTCTTCGTTGGGTAACAATATCATTTGAAACAAACTTCGATGTGGCAACTGTAAAATCTTGGCATAGCAACTCTTGTGTTGACTAGACCAGCTATGCTCAAGGAGCATGTGGAAACAACCAACACCCACACTATAAATAATGTACAAAGAAAGGCTTTTCTCTGGCGCTAAGGGAGCACATTCTTAATAATTGGCTATTGTTGGTGTACTCTTCCTTAAATAAACAGCTGAGGGAGGCATTTAGGCGGGGTCTACCCTTGGGAGGGTGGGGGTGAGGGGTGCAAGGGCAGGAATAAACTAAGGCAGCCTTGTCTTACTCTGCAGTTCACACCAATTTTTCCTGGTGATTAAAAATGATGATAAAAGATAAGAAAGGAATAAAAGTAGAGGCCTGCCCGACTGCTAATAATTCACTCATTCTTGAAGATGGCATGCTAGTTGTGGGTCTTTAAAATTTTCAACCCCTCCGACCCCGAGATGATGAATTAACCACAAACTCTCTGCCTTCTACCAAATCACGTCTACGGAGCAAGTTATATCTTGACAGCAATTTGAAGATGCTAGAAGTAGGGATGGTGTTGGCAGAGACTGGATTCTCTGGTTGATGAAAATTGGCATCAGGATGCCCTGTTCAAATTTGACCTTGAATGGGAGCCAGAGGAAATTGGAGGAAAGGGTTTTCAAGAATAACAGACTCTGGTTAGAACTAAAGAGAGTCTATTGCAGATAGCCAGGCTGGTGGTCGGCTTTGAACCCCTGTTTGGCCACTTATGAGCTGTGTGACCCCTAGAAATCCTCATATTTCTTTTTCTGAGTCAGTTTCTTCATCTGTAGAATGGGTATA